CTCCTCCAGAGCCACCCTTCCATTCCCTGTCGGCTTTTCCTCCTCTCCCTCAGAGTCAGTCTCCACCAGGGGCACGACATCCATCCTCGAGGCAACTCTGAGTGGAATGTGCATAAGAAAGCATGGCTAGCATATAGTCACCCCACATTTAATGTGTGTTTTGACAAGCAGCACATAATAAATAATAAGAATTTCAGAGCACGCAATTATACCTCTTGGCAGATCTTTTGAGAAAGCCTTTGCGTAATACACCGTTTGTTCTCTTGAGGTGTAAGCGTTAAGGTGAGCGCCCATGTTCTCGATCTCCAGCTCCAGGTCCAGCTGAGATCTTTTTTTCGTTCCCTGCGATTGAAGGATCTGCAGTTATTTCAACGGGAGTCGCGATAGGAAAACGATAATAATAAAGGCATTATTGCCTGGGCCTTCCATCTTAAGACCAACGCAGCAGGTGATCTCAAAGGACTCTGGAAACCGCCAGCTCCCTCCTAAAATATGAGGCACCTGACCTATTTACAGGAAGCAAAGAGCAGCAGAACAGGTAATACATAAAAATACATAGCAGGTGATTTGAGAAGCTGGGAATTTTGACAGCACTCGCTGAGCCCTTAAACAGATGCCAAAATGGAGGATAATGGCCAAGCACAAAATTTCAATTTGCAATTATCAAAGTGTCCAAACTGCTTTCCCACTGCATCCTTTACCTTTGCAGGATAACGGCTACCAGGATTGTTCACATGTTGTGGTAAAAAGTAATACAATAGAGCTGGAAGGGACCTTGGAGGTCTTCTAGTCCAGCCCCCTGCTCAAGCAGGAGATCCTACAGCAGTGGTGGCTAACCTTTTTGGGCTCTTGTGCCAGAAACTGTGTGCATGCAAGCGCTCGCGTGCTCACATGCCAGCACCCAGAAGGCAATGCGCGTAGCTCCCCCACGCCCCGTGCATGCGTGTGCGATTTCCACCCCCCGCCACTCCCTTACCTGCACTGCACCTCCCAGCTGATTTTCGCCCCATTTGAGGCCTTTTTTGGCCTGCCAGAGGCTTGAGGGATGCCTCTGCAGGCTTTGCAGGATGAAAAATGGGCCTGTTTCATCATTTCCTGTATTTCCAGAAATACCGTAAGTGACGAAACGGGCCCATTTTCCGAAAATCAGCTGGGAGGTGTGCACATGCACAGTGAGGTAAGTTCGCCATCACGGCCCTATACCATCTCAGATAAGCGACTGCCAGTCTCTTCTTAAAAACCTTCAGTGATGGAGCACCCACAACTTCTGCAGGCAAGTCCTTCCACCGGTTAATTATCCTCACTGTTAGGAAGTTTCTCCTTAATTCCAGGTTGCCTCTCTCTTTGGATGGTTTCCATCCATTGCTTCTTGTCCTGCCCTCTGGTGCTTTGGAGAATAATTTGACCCCCTTGTTAGGAATATAAGTCACCTAACAGTTATTTGGGTTGGAAATATATAAACCAGGATAGACATTTTAATACTGTCTCTTTAAGAAAATCCTAAAACTGTAATTGGGTGTGGTTTCTGAAACGGCCATAAGATGGAGCCAGAAACCTGGGTTTTTTAGTCTTAGTCTCAGAAGAGAGTGTGTCTCAGTGAGTCTCTGTTTTCCTTCTGTTGGAGAGTATTGCCATTCCTCCATTTTTCCTAATTGACTGATCTTCATGGATTTGATGTAAGTCTGTTACTGAACTGTTTTTGATACTGGACTTTGTTATTGGATTATCCCTGGACTGTACACTGACTGCCTTACCTGACTTTGGACTGTGTTTGAACTTTGCTTAAACATTTATGGAAGTAAAAACCTACATTTACTGTACAGTGTATCTGTGTGTATTATTCAACACTTCTCTCATTACGTCTCCCTGTATGCGCTCATTCTCCTAACAGAGAATTACCTCAACACCCCTCTTCTTTGTGGCAACCCCACCAATACTGAAATATTGCTATCATGTCACCCCTAATTCTTCTTTTCTCTAGACTAGCCAGAGCCAAAACCTGCAGCTATTCTTCGTACAGTTTAGTCTCCAGGTTTTTGACCATCTTAGTTGCTCAACTTTGGAAAGTCTCAAATGTTGAGATAGAAGCCACAGCAGTGCCATTAAAGCTCCATCTTTAATGGCACAGAAGCGGGGGCAAAATGCTGACTCTGTAAACCACTGAGAGAGGACTGTAAAAGCACCATGAAGTGGTATGTAAGTCTAGGTGCTATGGCTATTATCTGTTTTTCATGGCTGCTCTCTGGGCTTTTTGGACCACACCTGACAGACATGTTTAACTACCAACTACTGTTATTCTATGTTTTATCATGCCTTATTTCCTGGATATTCAACACAGGCAATTTAACGCTTTTCATTTTTTAAGGAAGCCTCATTGGGCTTCCATACAGCCCAGAAGAATTGTTGTCAAATAACACCAAAATGCTAGAAGCTACCTCGGGCTTCGCAACGCATCCGGTCAAAAATCCAAGAAAAGGAATAGGATGTTAGGAACTTGCCTTAAAAGCCATGTGCTCCAGGAAGTGAGCCGTCCCATTGTTTTTGTCGTTCTCATATCGGCTTCCAGCATCGATCCAAAGTCCCACCTGATTCAAAAGCACATTTTTTTCTTTTTACTAAAACAATAAAATACAGCTTCAATACATGCTGAGGAAACCACAGGCTGATTTTTGCTTCGGTGGTTAAAATCTTTGTCAAAACAACTAGACACAAAGATAATTTTTTTCCCTCCCGTATCATCACTCTGCTGAACACCTAATTCCCACAGCACTGTCTCGTTTCTCATCTTTCCTACTATCTTTTCATATTGGTTTCTTATGATTTATCAATTGTTGTTTGTAATGTATGATTGTAACTATGATTTATGATTTATGAGCTATTACTTGCTGTTTATATGTTCACTATTAGTTTATGCACCAGAAACAAATTCCTTGTGAATCCAATCACACTTGGACAATAAAGAATTCAATTCTATTCTATTCTTATTCTATTCCTATTCCATCCCAATGTTCCATATTCTGTTCTATTCTAATTTTATTCTATATTCTATTCAATTCTACTTTACTCTACTTGCTTATTCTATTCTAATTCTAATTCTAAACAAAGTTTAGAATGCTGTAAGAGCATAATTCCTTCCAGATGTGCTATGGAAGCTCGGTGGGACAAGAAGCATCAGGAGATTAAAAAAAAAAAGAATATAAAGCCCAAACTTTTGTGGACAATTTGGTATTTGTGCTTGAGGAACCGTTAGAATTGGGACCCAAATTAATTAGGAAAATAGAAGAATTTGGAAAAGTGGCAGGTCTTAAAATACATAAAAATAAGACGAAGATCATAACAAAAAAATCTTATTAAGAAACAGAACAAAGAACTGGAAGAAAAATTAGAAATGCAAATTGTTAAAAGAGTTAAATATTTAGGAATTTTGTTTACAGCGAAAAGTATATCTATTAAAGAAGATAATTATACAAAATTGTTTACCAAAAAAGAAGCATCAGGAGAAAATGTTCTTTCTGCTAACAGGTCAGTCACTTATGGAATATTTTATAGACACAATTGAACCTGGAATTTTAGACAATATGTCACTGAGGTCCTTAAGCCAGATGCCCGTGTCATCTTGAGAAAGGAGAGTTTCTCGCTGTCAATGGGGTAACTTACTGTACATGTTGTAAGTCCAGAATCTTCAGACGCAACCCTCAGGCCATTGTCCAGAGTCGAGACTTTTGTTTCGGGGACATTCACAACGATTTGGGATGCTACTTTGGTAGCCCTGTATCGGTTTCTCCCAAGATGGAGGTCCTAGTTTGAGGAGAGAGAAAAGAAGTATTATGGGAGCCAATATGATAAAAAAGTGCGCAGTGTGGGTTTATTTCAGAGAAATTAAAATCTCGTTTGTTTGTTTTGCAACAGAGCAAATGCTATGAGGAAACCAATCTGGGCCATTATTTTTGTGAGTGCCACGAAGAGCAAAATAGCGCAAAATCCACATGGAGTTTTTGCTTTCAGGAGAGGAGAACATTTTCCCAGGCTCCACAATAGAATAATAGGGCTGATACAGGTTGGTCTTCAACCTTACGACCGCAATTGAGCCCAGAATTTTATGTGGCTAAGCAAGAGAGTTTTTAAAGTGAGTTTCATCTCGTTTTACGACCTTCCTTGCCACAGTTGTTAAGTGAAGTGGATCACTGTGGTTGTTATGTTAGCAACATGGTTGTTAAGTAAATCTGGCTTCCCAGTTGATTTCACCTATCAGAAAGTCGCAAAAGAGGACCACATGATCCCAGGACATTGCAACCGTCGTAAATACGAGTCAGTTGCCAAACATGTGAATTTTGATCATTGCAACCACCGTAAATGTGAAAAACAGCCATGAGTGCTGTTGCAACTTCGAAAAGTCAATAAACGAATGGTTGTAAGTTGAGAACTACCTTATTTAAAAGTGGATTTCTTCAAAGTCATGAATTTGGTAGAACGATTATGGACCTATCAATATCCAAAGTGTTCCTTCACACGAGGACAGACATTTGTATACTAGAACTTTCTGAGGTTTAACGTTCAGCCAGTTAAGAATAATGAACTATTACCATTGGCAGACGGTACAGGGTAATAAAAACAAGGACAAATAGGCTGAAAAACAGCTTCTATCACAGGACAGTAACTCTATTGAATTCTACTGTATAGTGCAATATTAATGCAATATCAGGGTTTCAGTTCAATGCATAAAATGTGAAGGAGGTGTGTTTGTGTTTATTTTCATAGTTGTAATGTACACTGAAGATGGTATTTAATTTCATTGTACGAGGTGCAATGACAATAAACTAAACTAGACTGAAAATTTAAAATGGTGTCTGCGACAAGCTTCTGTTATGAAGGCTGTTTTATTTATTCAACATGTTTTAATCCAACATTTTAACCTAACCAAAATTTTAGGGAGAGCCACTTTGGTAGAGAAACTAGGCCAAGGGTCTTCAAACTTGGCAAGATTAAGACTTGTGGACTTCAACTCCCAGAATTCCTGAGCTAACGTGACTGGAGGAAGAATTCTGGGAGTTGAAGTCCACAAGTCTTCAAGCTGCCAAGTTTGTAGGCCCCTGAACTAGGAGATCGGGAGTTCTCGCGCAGCAAGCCTCTGGACCAAAGTCTGCTGAATTACCTTGGGCCAGTCACTCTTGGTCAGCCCCAGGAAGGAGGCAATGGCAAGCCACTTGCAAAATCTTGCCAAGAAAACTGCAGGGACTTGCTCCAGCAATCACCAGGAGTCAAGATCAACCTGAACCCACCAAAAAATATTAAAAAGTTCAAGAGTAGTTTATGGGCAAACAAGGGTAAAAAAGAAGAACCCCCTGTCCCCTGGTTTATAAGCAAAACATCTCTAAAATATCACCTCTTCATCTGTGATTAATTCCCAGAAAGACTTGTCTATGCTTAAATCTGATTCAAATTCATATTGATTCATATTTATTTGATTTGTCAATCGCTTACAAAATAATAGGTATACGTATATACATAGTTATGAATACATGAAATGGGTACATATAAGAAAAATAAAATTATATTATGCAGAGAATATTATGCAGAGAAAGGAACACACAGACTAATCCCTGATTTAATTAAAGAATAAACAAATGACTTTGCAAAATGTTCTTCTCAATAAACCACGGACAAACCACAATGAAGTGTTGACACATTAAGTCTAACCACAACTTTTATCTGTACTTATTCTAGCTGCAGGCAATAAATCTTGGCTCCTTCCTATTTTATTTCTAGTTCAGCCTCAAGAAAGACTGGACAGCCATTTGTCCAGAATGGTATAGGATCTCCTAGTAAGGAAGGAAGGAGGGAGGGAGGGAGGGAGGGAGGAAGGAAAGAAGGGGTCGGTAGAGCTGAAGTGCAAGAAACCGCTAGAGGGAACCACCACACCGCTGCCCTCTGGCCGTCTTCCGGTATTCTATTCGCCCAGACCGCCACATTACGCGCCAGCGGACTACATCTCCCAAAATGCAGCGCGTTCAAGGCACCCCCCCCCCCCCCCCCGCAGTCAGTAGAAAGCAGCCGAGGTCGCTCCGTCCAGCCGGCCTTTCAAAGCCCGTCGCGTGTGAACGGTCCCTTACCCGCTGTCCGGGGGTTGAGCATGTCCGCGTGCTGAGGTGTCCCGCTGGCCGAGCCCAGAGAAGCCGCCGGCCCGCTCGGCAAGCCGCAGACACGGCCGCCGCCATCTTAGCTCGCAAAGTGAAGGAGTCGGCGGGTAAGCCGAGAGAACTTCCGAAAGGGGGGAGTCACGTGACCCGAGGATGGGATGGAGCCCTTGCATTTCGGGAGATGTAGTCTCCTGGAGTGGCGGGGGGGTGGGGTGGAACAATTGCCTGGCATAAAAATCCTGCAGGCATTCCTGGCTCTTGTTAAGTTCTTTCTGAATTTTTCTTTCAGTTTCAGCTCCCATTCAATAGTTACTAGTTATCGAATAGTAGGAAGCAGCTTCTAGCAGATCACCCTCTCACGATTCACCATGAGGCTGCAAAAACCCCAAACTTGTGAATCCTCAGATCCAGGATCCATTTATGCTTGCATGATCTTAGTGTGTTTAGCCCATTATGCCACCACGTTGGTTCTAAATGGGTTGAAGTTTGATTTATTTTATAGCCATTCTGTTTCTTTAGGTTTGAATTCTGACAGGCCATGCTTCACAAAAAGATCCTGAGAGACAGAATGGAATGGAATATAATAGAATGGAATATAATAGAATAGAATAGAAATAGAATAGAATATAGAATAGAATAGAATATAGAATAGGAATAGAATAGAATATAGAATGGAATAGAATAGAAATAGAATAGAAATAGAATAGAATAGAATATATGGAATAGAATAGAATAGCATAGAATTAGAAATAGAATAGAACAGAATAGAATATAGAATATAGAATAGAATAGAATTCTTTATTGGCCAAGTGTGATTGGACACACAAAGAATTTGTCTTGGTGCAAATGCTCTCAGTGTACATAAAAGAAATGATACATTCATCAAGAGTCAAGAATCATCAGGTAACAACACTTAATAATAGTCATAGGGTACAATAAGCAATCAAATCATACCAGGAAACATGTCAATATAAATCGTAAGGATACAAGCAACAAAGTTACAGTCCTACAGTCACAAGTGGGAGGGGATGGGTGATAAGGAGTGATGAGAAGGTTAATAGTACAGACTTTGTAAATAGTTGGACAGTGTTGAGGGAATTATTTGTTTAGCAGAGTGATGCCATTCGGGGGAAAAACTGTCCTTGTGTCTAGTTGTTCTGGTGTGCAGTGCTCTCTAGCGTCCTTTTGAGGGTGGGAGTTGAAACAGTTTATGTCCAGGATGTGCGGGGTCTGTAGATACTTTCACAGCCCTCTTTTTGACTCAGGGTGCAGTATACAGGTCCTCCATGGAAGGCAGGTGGATAGTAATTGTTTTTTCTACAGTCCTAATTACTCTCTGAAGTCTGTGTCTGTCCTGTTGGGTTGCAGAATCGAATCAGACAGTTATAGAGGTACAGATGACAGAGTCCATCATTTCTCTGTAGAAACTGGATCAGCAGCTACTTGGGCAAATGGCACCTTTGAGTGTTTAAGGTTGCTTTAAAACGGTCACTAAATGAACTGTTGTAAGCCGAGGACTAACCTTGTACTAAGTTAACAACTACAGTGATTCACTCAACAATGTAAAATCGATCAGGACTCCCATAACAACCGTCCCACTTAGCAACAGAAAGGCTGGGCTCCCTTGTGGTCGTAAGCCGAGGACACTCTGTATTGTGATGCCATTTTGTTTTTGTTTGTTTTTTCTGGTTGAGCTGCCAAGATGACGTCGCCATGAAGAGGGAAATTGGCAGCTTCATCCGTTGCCGCAGAAATAACATAGAACTTCGTTTAAATCTCCATTCCATCCGACGTCTGAAGACCCCCAACCGCTTCGGCCGACCCACCTCTTACCTGATGCAAGGGGGAATAATGGTCCGGTATCAGTAGATCGCTTAGGGCAGGTAGTCCTCGACTTACGGCTATTTGCTTAGTGACTGTGCGAAGTTACCACGGCCCTGAAAAAAGCAACATGACTGTTTTTTTCAGGGATGCCCTTTGCAGCATCCGTTCCCATGGCCCTGTGATCAGAATTCATATGCTTGGTTCATACTTACGACCGCCGCAGCGTCCCAGGGTCCCGCGATCCCCTTTTGGCGACCTTTTGACAAGCAAACTGGGGTGGGGAGGCGGATTTGCTGAACCAACCGGCTTAGTAACTTATGATAGCAGCGATTTGCTTAAGGCCTGAGGCAAGAGAGGTCGTAAAATGGGCCCAACCTCACTGAATCCACATCTCCCAATGGGCTCAATTGTAGTCGTAAGTCGGGGACTATTGTATTAGTGCTGGTTCCCGGTTAGAGGAAGCCCCTTTTCCCTACGCCCCTTTCCCCCGCGACACGTGTAACCCGTGCAGACGTGCAATCTCGTCCCAAGAAGGGCATCTGCCCCGCGGAGCTTAGGCGGGGGTTTTGCCGGCAGGAGGCTGGGCAAAGCCGGCGTCCCCTTTCCGAGAGAGGGCAGCCGAGAGCTGGAAGGACGGAGAGCCGGGGAGTAGGAACGAAGCCAGGCCGGGCGCGGTTCCGGGCGCTCCGAGAAGCTGCTCCGTGCCGGGCTCGCCGTCTGCATGGGGAAGCGGCCCTGTCCGGCTCCCTCCTCGCTGCTCGGAGCGGCTGAGGCAGGCGAGGGGACCGCGGGGCAGAGGCGGCTTGACGGCGGGGCTCGGCCGGGCCGGGAGAAGCGCCGGAGGCCGCTTATGGAGGACGAGGAGGAGGAGGAAGAAACGGCCGCCCTGCGGGAGCCCAGCCGAGAGAGGTGAGCGATCTCTGGGATGGGGACCACGTCGGGAGGGGATCGCTCGGGGAAGGGAGATCCGGAGGGATCCCACCGCCTTGCGAAGTGATCTCTGCAGCCGCCGGGAGAGGTGGGAGATCGGCGGGCAGCTGGAGGGGACCGCTCGGGGAGGGGAGATCCACCGGATCCCATCCAGGGAAGCCTCGCAAAATGATCTCCGCAGCCCCGCTGGGAGAGCTGGGAGGTGGCCGGGCGCTAGGAATGGATCGCTCGGGGAGGGGAGATCCGGAGATCTAGGGAAGCCTTGCAAGGCGATCTCTGCAGAGCTGCAGCTTTCGGGTTCCTCTGCCTCGGATGGCGGCCGAGGCTGGGCTTTTCCCCCCGGGAGGAAGACTCCCTCCGGCCGCCGAGCTCCCCCCGCCCCCCACGAGCCCCACGAACCGCCCCGGCCTTTTCCTGCACCCCGCAGCTCCCCCCGTCCGTCGTTCACCGGAGCTGCTCGGTCCCCGGGGACTCGCTGGATGCCCAGCCCTTAGGAACCACTTCGGGCGTGGGAAGCCGTGGGTTGGAGAGACTGGCTCGGACGCCGCTTTTGAACTCGGCTCCTTAATGCAAGAGATGTGCGCCAGATGTTGGGGGGGCAATCCTACTTTCCCCCCTCCCCCTCGCCTTTGGAGGGAGCCACTCGGGAACCGGCCTCACGTGGGCTTGGAGGAAAAGGATGCTGGAGAGGGAGCGAGGGAATTGGAAATGGAAATACTGTAGCACTGATGGTATTACCTAGTTGGGTCATGAAAGGTCTGCAAGGAAACAACCACCAAGGACCCCACAGTCCTCCCCCTCCTCCTCCATTCCACAAACCCTACTCCTTGTAGCACTGATGGTGTTACCTAGTTGGGTGATGAAAGGTCTGCAAGAAAACCCCTGAAGCTCAGAGAGCAGCAAAGACCCCACAGTTGTCCTCCTCCGCCTCCTCCTCCTCCTCCTTCCAAACAAACCCCACAACCTTGTAGCATGATGGTGTTATCTACTTGGGTAATGAAATGTCTGCAAGGAAACAACCCAGCTCAGAGACCACCAACGACCCCCACAGTCCTCCCCCTCTTCCTCCATTCCACGAACCCCACTCCCTATGAGCACTGATGATGTTACCTGGTTTGGTAATGAAACGTCTGCAAGAAAACCAGCAAGCTCAGAGAGCACCTGGGACCTCTCACTACCTGTACTACAAGGCTGCAACAAGGCTGCATTACCTCTGGATCCGTCAAAAGTTCGCATTTTTCTTGCAATCAGAGAGGTAACAATAAAGAAGATCAGAAAGGATAAATGTAGCAATCTTCTGAAAGTTAGACAACTTTTCCTCACCTGATTGGTAGACAATTAAAAAAAAAAAAGTTTGCAAACTGATGGCTCTTACACTTCGTTAGGAAATAGGGTCCCTTCCAACTCTGATTATCTGATAGAAGGATCTGTTGTCGGGGTGGTGGAAAATATTAATGAAATATTAATTATTGCAGATTCCTTATCAATGGGAGGTGGGTAGTTTCTGTATTTAGCACAGATGGAATTGAATTTCAGAGAAGAAAAGGTAGGAGCAGAAATTGCGCGGTTACGAGGTACAAGGTTACAAAATTGGGAGTTTGTCCCAGAGGGATTGCATAATTTGTACCTTAAACAAAACTAGAAATTAAATTGGAGCTAAGTTCACTTTTTTTTTTTTTTGACCTCAGCAATTCTGGACAAAAACAGTATGGTTTGCAATTGCTTTCTAAATTAAAAAAAAAAATAGTCCAGATTGCTAAATAATTGTTCCGAAATGACAGCCATTTGGAATGGAAAACGGTGCTTCATTGAAATATTAGCATGCATGGTGTTCAGCCTTTCTGTTTTGTTTTTTTCAAATTCTTTTTCCCAAGGACTGCCTCATTTTTTAGCGGGTGAATAGGATTGAAATTGAATCCAGGAATGAAAAGGCAGACAGTTCAATTCAGTTGCTATAGTTCGAGTGTTTTCCCATCATTCAGATGGAAATATGCTGTGTTAGCCTTTCAGCTTTACATAATCCTCGCCTGCCAAATTTGTATTCTGTGCAGGAACTGCTGCCTTGCGTTTACATTTGCCTGTAAGGCCAATGTAACTTATATATTGCTGAGAGCCAGGCATTCTCCACAGTTTTCCCTAAAGTAAAGAAATCATGAAAACAAGAACCACCTCAACAGAAATCTCTATATATAAAAGCGAAAGACCACTCATGCATCATCACAAAATCTCCAGAACCGTAAAGCCTACAAACTTGAAATTTGGTACTTATGTTCCTCTTGCCTTCTAGGTGCTCACCAAGAAAGGATTTTTCAAAATGACCACCAGAGCTTTAGCATTTCATATATTATTATTATTAACATGCTCTGATGCTAAGGAGTTCTCCCCCTCCCCACCTGAAAAGAAATCTGTTCCAAATGCAAAACAGAAGCAGAGGAGAGGAGTTTCAGTTTTACAGCAATCAAGCAGCTTTAGTACAGAACAGTTGAGCTAAGCCACGCCCAGGCTCCTTGTTATCTCATTTTTGCTCACACAGCAAATACTGTTTCACTTTCCAAATAGCCCTCATCTCTCTCACACACTGACAGGACGCTAGCCAGATGAATACTGATGGATGCTGGTAGGCAGAGGCAGAATTCCCCCCCCCCCCTTATTTTCCTTCTCAAAAACTTATATGCTTTCTTATGTTTTCGCGGGTATTTATATGTGTGGTATTCAGCTTTGTTCAGGTATTTCCCCACATCTTTATAGTTGTGTTTTTAAAGTTGTAGCGACGTTTCAGCAGAATCTCATCTGCCATCATCAGGCTTGTGTATTGTGTTCGTCTTTGTCGTGTGTGTCAGGCTTTCACAGCCATTTCTGTTTTAAATTTGGTGCTAGCCTACTGCTGTGTTAGAATGGTTTTTTCTTCACCCTGATTGGTTGGGAGTCTTGGTCTGTGTTTATTGGTCTTGGAGTTGGCTATGTTCTGCTTGATTGGTGTTTCTAATATCTTATGTCTGTTTTGTAGCTTTTTTTTTTTTTTTTTGGTCTTGATTAGCTGGCAACATTGTGTTTTGTGTATTGGGGGCTTTCAGCGTGGCTTGGCTTCGGGTGAATGGCTGGCTGTCATTTATTAGGAAGCTAGGTTTCATCTGGATGGATGGATGGGGTGTGTTTGGGCTGGAGGTATCAGGGAGTGCCCAGGTACTTGCTTGGCTTGTGGTGTGGAGATTCTGCCAAAACGTCACTACAACTTTAAAAGCACAACTATAATGACGTGGGAAAATACCCGAACAAAGCTGAATACCATACATATATACATATATAATATATACATACTTACATACATACATACATACATACGAATGAGACTGATAATTGCTCCTGATATTTAACCTGTCCACTAGGATACGTGTGCAGTACTCCTCGACTTATGACCACAATTAAGCCTAAAATTTCTGTGGCTAATTTCTGAGACAGTCGTTAAGGGAGATTTGCCTCGTTGTATGACCTTCCTTGCCATTGTGGTTCAGTGAATCTCTGTTAAATTAGTAACCCGGTCATTCAGTGAATCTGGCTTTCCTCATTGGCTTGGCTTGTCAGTCGTCAAAAAACATCTGAATGTAAATCACATGACCATGGGGATGCCACAACGGTCATAAGTGTGAAAAACAGTCGTAACTAAGTCCCTTTTTTCCAGGCCATTGTAACTTTGAATGGTAACTAAATAAATGGTTGTAAGTGGAGGACTTCCTATAGTTCATAACATGTGAAGAAATCCAGAATTGGGAAGGACGAAGGTTGGCCCTGGCGGTCAGTGTCATAATTTGAATTTTCTTTTCCCCATCCAGTTGCTTGTATCAAATTGTTAGGTTGGTTTTAAAATTTCACCAACTTCAAAGCAAGGCAAGAAAAAAAAACTACCTTCAAATTACAGTCGTCCAACCTGTGAAATTCCCTTGTTATGTTAAAACTCAAAGAGGTCTGATTAATGCTTTTAAAAACCAGGAACAGAAATTTTTGTGGAATGTTGGCTTTTGGTTAAACTTATTATTTTCAAAAAAGTTTTTATTTTCTTTTATATATACAATATAAAGATATTTTAAGTGAAAAGGGTGAGCTCAAAACAAAACGAGAATCGAATGAACAAGGGTTAGAAATGCATTGGTATTCATATAGGCAAATAACAAGGTATGAAAAAGGTTAAACGTATTATTGGAAACCCTTTCACATTTGACCCAGTGTGAAAGCAGGTTTTGCCAAGGTGTGTTCTAAGGAGGTTCTTTTTATCTTTATTTTTTTTTTCTGTGATCATTTCCTGCATTGGGAGGAGGAATGGAAGATTCTACATTATATATATACTGTATATAAATATATATATTTTGCATCTCACCCCAGATTCTCAGGCAGAGACCGTTTTCATTTAAAAATAAATAAGAGCAAAATAGGCTACCACAAGAACAGTTTTACATTGTTCTTAAGTTCCCCCAAAGCACGTTTTTAATGATAAAATGAGGTGGCTGGCAATCTCTCAAATATAGAAATCTTGTCTATCCTTTCTTTTCCCTCTCATATTTTTTTTTTAAATACACGTTGTCTTTCACTTTGGATCTCATTTTCACGGAATAATATCTCACAACACCATTTAATTTGGGAAATCTTTGAATCTGTCCTTCTAAAAAAGATCTTTGGAAATCCATTTTTTTTTTCAAGGCCTGTTTAAACATCGAATCTCTGTGAGTAAGCCTCATATGAGTAGACCTGTGATGACCTGGGAAGCAGCACACACGTAATAAATTTCCAAACGTAAATAAATTTCTTTTAATATCCTCACTGTTCAATTGTTTGCAGTTGGAAATTAAACTCTTTCCAAAATAGCCTCCAACAGAAAGAAATACAGTCCAAACTCAAAGAACAGATAACAGAGAAATGAAAAACCAAAACAAACCGTACTGAAGGAATTTCCACGACAGACCAGGATAATTAATTACAAACTTCAA